TATTCTTGCTTCCGAGCTGGGGTATACCTTTTTTTTCTTTTTCTTTTATCCCTAAAGGAATTACTCGTCTTTTCGAAAAAGAGTAATTACATTCTAGCCTTAGGGAGCACGGTGAGGGAGCAGAGGAAGTGAAAGAGGGCGAAAGCGCGGATGAGGGCGAGTGGGACCGCACACTCAAAATCGACTAAATAATAGCGCGTGAAAGTCCCGGGTGTTTGCCGAACGATGAAAAGAGAGAGAGAGAGAGAGAGAGAGAGAGAGAGAGAGAGGAAGGGAGGTACGGGTGTGCGAGCGAGCGACCGAAGGAAGGAAGGAGTCAGAAATTCGAGTAGTTGATCAGAGGGACGAAGATGTGGCGCGGAGGACGAGAAGAAGAGGAGACTGCGAGGTGCGGAAGATGCTCTCGATGGGGCAGGAGAAAAAGAGAGGGAACGAAAGCCGAAGACAACCGCAACGAGCCACAGACCAGTTAATGGCTCTATAATGCGTCTCGTCCACGAGCCCTACCGCTCTTTCTCTCTTGGATTATTGGTCGCTTTTTCTCCCAACTTCGAGCTTTATACAAGCTCACTTATCTTATTCTGAATGCCGCATTTGCGACAATTTTGTTTCTCTGTTATTATCCGTTCTTATATTCATTCAATAATTCATTTACTTACATTAAAATCTAATATTCCAATTGATATATCATGAATTCTTTAAGCTTGCACCTCTTAAATGGCAAATAGTTTTTTTTTAATATTGGTTAGTCGAGTGAATAATTTTATAATCTTACAATTTTGGTATTGCCAGACGACCTTTTGCATAAGTATAGGTGCTTCCGGCTATGTCGTACATTAGAAAGAGAAATTGTTTGAAATAAGCTGTATTTACCTTAGGATGTAAAATGTAACAAAGCGTCGGGAGGTTTAACCAACGACGAAAAGTTTTGGCTGCACGCGTGCTGTTAGCGGGAGAGGGGAAAGGAAGAAGGTTATTCGAGATGATCTTCGAAGAAAGCTCGAGGACAAGCGGAAATCGGTACTTAAAGACTTTGAAAGTTTCGTGTTGCATCAGTAACGGCAGCAGCTCCTAGTTTTGTAGGGGACTGTTTTCCGCTGAAAAGCGACGACGAAGGTCAAAACGGGCTGGGTCTTTACCGACTTTCATGTTTTTCTTGGACACATCAAGCGCGACACTTTCTTCGGTTGTCCATCTCTTGCATACCTTTTTACCTTCTGTCTTTCTACACAAAATTGTTAGCAATGGCGATTTATCGCTTATTTGCGATCGCCTCTATGACCTTCGTACACCACGATAATTAGCTCAAAGATCTTTTCGTGGTATTCCGATTATTTAAGTTCTTCTTCCTAATGCTCATGCTGATTCTTCTTTTTTTATTCTCGTTTATGACCTATACTTGCAGGTATACAGCTGTGTAATTGTTATTGAATCGACAAAACACAATATCTCTACTCCATTTTGAAAATTTCTTTTATTTCATACTTTTTTTTATCCTATCTTTTTTTCATCCTTAAAATTCTACATGTATTTGGTTATTTTTAAGTTAATTTTTCATTCTTGAACTTTTCATTATAAGATTGAAGTTAGTTATGATTCAATTATGATGCGCCGAGTGTATATGTTTCTCTTTTATTTAAAATTATTACTAATGACTTACATTGTAATTACAATTTTTGCAATTTCTCTTTAACGTAGATATGAAGTTACGAAACATTATTTAAATTTTAGGAAACCGTTATAAAAAATTGAGAAATACACGTGCTCATAAATATATCATAAAGTAGTGGCGTTAAATGAATATTCTTATCAAGAATAAATAATTAAAAATAACCATTTTGTAGTAGTAAAGACTAATAATTTGCTTTATACAAATTTTTCAATATATGTTGATATGATTATATGATTTTACATTTTATTTAATTATTTCTTATTAACATAACAAATAAATACATATCAAATAAACAAATAAGAAATTGTACATTTGAAATAAATTATTATTAATATTTCAATTTAAGGGTGAAAATAATATATTTTATATTACATTACAAAATTATTACTAATATTATTTAAATTTTTATAAATACTACTTTATAAACCATTTATAGTAATTTAATGCATGATTTTTTTTGTGTTTTTTTTTCTATATTATATCTGTGGAATGAAAAGGAATAGAGAGATTAGAAATAAAAAGTGAAAAAAGTAAGTGGAGGGTGGAGGGTGGTGGGTGGAGGTAAGACAGAAAATAAGAAAAAGAAAAGAAATTTTTAAGGCACTCCCTAATTCTCTATCGGGAGTGCGACTTATCTCAGAGTCGGGATCTCGTTTTCTGTCATTTCAAGTTTTAGCGTCTGGGCACGCGACATATTGGTTCACTCAGTCGACAGAGAGAAAGTGAAAAGAGGGTGAAGGAAGGCGTTTGAATTTGCACCGACTCTGATTTCGATTAAATTGAGCGGACTCGAAAACCCTCACTTTCGTGCTTCATTTCCTTTATTTTTCTTGCTCTTACGAATTCGTCTTTTAGTACCTGAACTTGATAAAGATACAGATTTTACCGATGGAGATTATTTGTAGGATATTTATAGTGAAGTAACAAAGAAAAGTTACTTTTTTCAATTTATGGCTAATTGGAAGTAGAGTCACCCGAGTGGGTGCATTTTTATTCAATAATGTATTTCAGAAATACAGAAACCAATGTGACTTTTCCGTACTAGAACAAATATTAATTATTGCTTAAAACGATAAACATAATAAGTAGGGGATTATCCTTATTACTAAATCTGTATGTATTGAATATAATAAATATTATAGTATACGTAATAAAAAATTAAAAATATTCATTTAAAATATTTATTTACTTAGTTGAAATATATTTAAAATTAAATTCTATTTTTCTAATTATATTAATACAAACAAATGTGTCAATTATACATTTATTATCACTACGGCAATGAAAAATAAAAATTATACATTGTTATTCTGCAAACACATAATTGTTGTGATGTTATAATGTTGATAATTATATCCGAATAATCAACGTTTATTATTCTGATGAAATTGACAGATTTTTATTATTGATTGATAATTTGATTTCAACCTTTTTATATCCGAAGCAATAAGACTTCAAATCAGATAAGAAATGTTTGATTTGTGCTTTATTAAATTACTCTTGTAAAATAATAAAAAACATAAATAATTTCAAATAAAAATTATGGATGAATATGATTAATGAATGTAAAAATTAAAAATTTTAAAACAGTCTATCAGTTAGATTCGTGGGATGAACTTTCTTAGCAGTCAACAAATGTAAGAAAAATTGATCGATAGTGAATCGTAGGTACAGCAAGCAGTTTTTCACCCATGCGCGTGTAGTCTCAAGCAGATTAATTAGTAACGACAGGTGATAGAGGCACGAAAAATAAAGTGCAGACCGACGTGTCTTACATGAGGGAATCTTGTACAAAGTATACCACAAGAGACTTTTTCCCGATGCGTTACAATCTACACATTCAGAGCTACCGATTACTGAATAAATGGTTGAGCGAATAAAGGTCTGCCATAGTTCATAGACAATAGAGAGGGACGGAACTAAAGCACTTGAATTAATCTCTTTTTCTCTTTTCAGAAATTCTCAAGTACTTTTTTTCTATACAGCTCGCCCCTATTCGTATCTATAAAATGGAAAATTCGAATTTCGAAGGTGAGCAGTGATTACTGACAATTCAAAACTTTGATAAAACCAAAACGGTTGCGCAGTAAGCTTTAGCGGGGCCTTTCGAGGGATCTTTTATTGTTACATAGCATTATACGTAAAAATACATGCAAGTGATGCGTAGTTGGGTAACGGCAGTTCATTGAAGCAATGAGGGTTTGTTTTATAACCAATGAAGTTGGTAATGTCGGAGGCTTAAGCTGCGCCGATGCTGGGTCTCGTCGATGAGCGCCAGAGTGTGTTCACAAGCAGATATTTATGAGATGTAAGCCGATGAGATTAAGTACTGTCGAGGAAGTGGCAAATGCAGGAGTCGAGTGGTGCTTTCCACAGTCCCAGCCGACACCGGAATTGCTACGGAGTTTTCAATTACTATTAAGCTGCGGTTATAAGAAGCATCCACACACACATACGGACTTCTATATCAACGTAGAATATCGAATCGCTAGTTCAAGACTGCGTGGTATTCGCAACGGAGACACAAGAGGGAGAGAGTGAAATAAAAAGTACAAGAGAAAGAGTACGGAGGAAGGAGAGGGAAATGGAAGAAAGAGGAGAGTAGGGAGTCTCTCGACTGGTGCTAGTTGAGTTGTCGAACTGACACGCGCGTTCCCTCTCCCTCGTGCTCCTTCCGCGTCGCGAGATGGCCGCCCCCACCAATGAGCTCTCTACCCCCCCTCGTAACTCCCTCTCCTGCTACTCTTCGCTCTTATTTTGAGTTTTCTCTCCCTAGCCGTGTTAGCCTCTGCGTCGCACGCCCACCGTGCGGGAGAGAGATAGTGAGAGTGATAGAGAGTGAGAGAGAGAGAGAGAGAGAGAGAAAGGGAGAGAGAGGAGAGTGAGAGAGTGAGAGAGAGGGAGCGAGCGGCCGGCATGCCAACCCCTCTCGACTGCCGACTGGCGGGAGTGGCGGGAGCGGCGGGAGTGGCGGGAGTGGCGGGACGGCAGGACGATGTTCAGTACCGTCATATCCGCCACGGCAGGAGTGACGAGGAGTAGTGAACATTTAGAGTAGGCGACTATTATTTGTGCGCAAGTGGTAAAGACAATAATGCGGCTTGCGGCCCTGTAAATCCAGTCGCAGTTAGTGCGAGAACCGGTGACGAGCTATGCGACGGCACAAGACTTGGCTAGTGCCAAGAATGTTTCAAAGTACGGACTGAGTCTCGTGAACTTATTGTGATAGAGAGGAGATAGAGAGAGAGAGAGAGAGAGAGAGAGAGAGAGAGAGAGGGGGAGAAAAGAGATAGAGAGAGAGAAAGGAAACAGGGTAGAGAGTGAGAGAGGAAGAGAGAGAGAGAGAGAGAGAGAGAAGTCGGGTGATCGTAAAAGAGATCGGGACCAAAAGTAAAACTAGAGGAGCGTCGCGTAAGTGCGCGCGAGTGCGAGAAAATGCCAGAAAAGGAAGTGGCCTACCACCAAGAGGCTTTTTCGTTGCTGCCACCCCCGCCACCGCCACACCTTAATCACCCGCACTCGGCCTTCCACGCGGCCTTCCACACGCACCATCCGCATCATCCGCACCATCCAACGGCACCCTCACCCTTCCATCCCCATCATTCGGGGCCTCACGGGGCTGGAGCCGCGGCAGCAGCCGCAGCAGCAGCAGCCGCCGCATGGGAACACCACGCGGCCGCGGCCGCTGCCCTCGCCTTTCACGCGCCACCCCCACACCCGTAAGTGAACTCTTTTGCTTTTTTATATAAAACTCTATCTTCACTTTATCAACTCTATCATACAAAAGTAACTACACATTGCTTTCCGGCTTTGATAACTTGCGCAAATCTAACTACATCTTCGCTTGCGCTCATTCATTCGTCTTCGAAGCGATTAAAACAGTAGGGGTTTCATACGTCATTATATTTTTAACCCTCGTGCCTATAACTCGTTAAAGCCTTAACTTATGATTTTGTATTTAATAGCGCTCTCGTTTGATCAGACTCACTAACATTTTCAAGTCTTCTTCAGTCTAACCATTTAACTCCCGAAACATCTTCTAAGCAAACGTTACTGGTAAATATCTTGAGCGATAACTTACATACTTCAATCTGCCAAAAATGCTAATTTATCAAATTAACTTTCTCTTTTATGTTCTTGTGAATTATTTTTTACTAAAACAAAAACAAAAACAAAAAATAATAATTGAATTGTGCACTACTCCATTAATCTATATAGTTGTATACATTTTTTAATTTAAAATTTTAAATTAATTAATTATTTAATGTAATAGGATTTTATTATTAAACTAAAAAATTGCATTCCCGTGTATTTAGCTGCAATATATACATGGTTTTAAAGCGAACTCAATTTCTTCAAACTGGTATTCTTAGGAAAAGAGCTTAAATTTGAAACTGAATAAAGCTTTATATTAAGAGTTGACCAAGCTTTGATCGAAATGCTCTTACCGCCCAATAAGTGTTATAACTTTTTTTCAACAGATTTATTTCCTGCTCATTATTTTTGCATATAATTAAATAATGTAAAAATTGAATAATTGATCATGTAAAATAATAGAAGTATCTCTATAAAATTCGGTTTCTATATAAAATTTTTATTACATGATTTGCGACTTCTAGTATAGTATTACATACTACGTTCTCGTGTTATAAGTTTTTATTGGTAATATTTTATTGGTGTTATATTTTAGTGTAATATAATTATAATTTAGTAATTATTCGGTTGAAAGTCGATTAAATAATCTTTTTAAATTAATATTATAGTTCTAATAAAAAAAGAAAATCGTTTTTAATAAAGTTCCTAAATGAACTAACTTTAGATATAATCCCGTGTACTTTCGTGATTTATGAAATATAAATCATTGTGGTCCAGCAATATTGAGCAGAAGTTTAAAGTATATTTTCGATTAACCACCATTTAAAATTGTCGAAATACTTTAATCAAATGAATATCTGAAACTGAAATAGAATATGTGCAAAAGTATATAGATAGAAAACTTAAGAATTAAATATCAAAAGCGCAGCATGCTATTTCCTTCTTTCTTTCGAATCAATCGACCATCTTTTTATATCGTATATACCTAAGTACAAGCCTTTACAAAAAATAATAATAGCATATAATCTTCTTCAAGGATTATAGATCGGGATAACGATATACTAATCGGATGACAAGAATTGATTTGTTTTGGTGTCATATTGCACACATAGGAAAAGTAACTGTGGTGTTTCCCTTCTATTTGTATTTTCTTTGCATTTACAATCAAAATAAATCTTACGAGATAACACGAGGAATATTGCTACTAGTATAAGCAGAAGAAAATTAAATCTATAAAGTATAAATTTATTATTGTGCATATGATCATTTGTACATATTTTAAAGAATGTGCATACATAATTTATGGAAAACGAGGAAATACTTTTCTATAATAAAATGAAATAAAAGTAAGAAATATAAATGGCATGTAGGTATTAATCTATTGTAGTAATAAATATATAAAATTAATTAATATATAAAACAAGTAGTATAAGATAAGAATTTTAATTCAATGTTTAAATGATCTCGTAATATAAAACAAAGCAAAAGAATATTATTTTTACAATAGGCATATTTTAGATCAGAGCTATGCACATAAACACTTCATTATATCCACAGTAAAGACTATATCAGAAAATATAATCAAGCCGACAAGTGAAAGAAAGGAAGAGAGTGAGAGAGTGAGTAAGTTAGAGAGTGAGCGAGAGAGATGGAGCGAAAGAGAGAGAGAGAGAGAGAGAGAGAGAGAGAGTGAGTGAGAGAGTGAGAGAGTAAGAGTGAGAGTGAGAGTGAGAGTGAGTGAGAAAGAGAGAGAGAGAGAGAGAGAGAGAGAGAGAGAGAGAGAGAGAGAGAGAGAGAGAGAGAGAGAGAGAGAGAGAGAGAGAGAGAGAGAGAGAGAGAGAGAGAGAGAGAGAGAGAGAGAGAGAGGAGGGAGAAATCACGGCTCGGCGAGATAATTAAGTCCTTTCACACGCAGCTGAATGGACGGTAGCAAATACCCATTCATAATAATCAGTCAATAGAATATGCAGTTGAACTAGTTTGAGCATAAGTTTAATTATCGTTACATTTATTTGAATTTTAGAAGTAAATAAATAACCCTCGTTTGCACTCATTTTTTGATGTGTAATTTTCAATTTAACATTTTCCCACTTCATCGCATGTCTTCTACTTCACATTCGAAGCTATTTTCTCGCTTATGTTTTTTTTTTAACACTCTTAAAACTTTTTTTCTTGACAAAGTTATTTTTTCCCGCGATTCAAACGTTTTGCACTAATGTGGCTCCCGTGGCTATTTTTACTTTGGTCTGTCTACTTTACTTTGCACTTTAATACTCATACCCTTTTTCTTGACTTCAGTTTCCGTCTCTTTCCAAGAAATTAAACTATTCTGTTTAATATATGTATATGTAACACAGAATTTTTTTATCCAATGATAAGAAAAATAAAAATTTATAATTATAAACAAAAAGAGCCAATATCATGTACAATGATAGAATATGTACAATTAAGGTACATAGTATGTATATTTAAATTCATCATAATTGCTAAATTTCTATATATCAATAATATTGCAAAGAAATGAATATATAGAAGATTATGTTAATTGAATCAAAATAATTGATAGGATAACATAACACTTGGAAACGTTGAATTTGCTGGTCTACGATCCTGCATCCGAACATACGTCCACCCTTTGTTAATCTCTCTATCTTTTGTGCATCTTCTAGCTTCTTCGCGACCGATGCAAAGCTAGCACGCATACATTTACGAATGTTCGTGTACATGAGCATAAGTGTTGGTAGGGTCTCGAGTTGAGTAGTAAATGAGGCGATACGATCCGTGCGATTCATCATCGGTGCGCCATTCCATTGATAAATTCCGGGCGTCCATAAGGCGCGAGCACTGGCGCGAGTTTATTATGCATGCGGGCGGTAAGGACAGAGAGGGGATTTGATACGAGATAACTGACCACATGATAAGTCCAACTATAGTCCAACTACTGGTAAATTTTCTTTTAATATCGTTTTCTAATCAGATGCTTGTTTATTAGGAATTTTTAATCGTAAATTAAAAGGAATAAGGGACAAGAATGAAAATGGTTTTTGTTCCCTCTATATTTGAATGAGAATCAGCGAAATTTACTTACTGATAGCGATAATAACAATCTTTATCGGCTTATTTGTCAATATGAAAACTTATAAATAAGATCTCCTTTGTTACAAGGTTTTGAAGTCGGCATAGAAGAATGCGTGTTACGTTAGTTTTCGGGATGTATGTAATGTAAGCTTACATTAAAAAAGGAAGGAGGCTGAAGTGAAATTCGCTTCTGCAGTTCTTATCAGTGAGTTATGCCCTGCGGGTAATAAGATACTCGCACCGATAATGCGTACTTGCACCGATCACCTTGTAATGTTTAAAATATATCTTCTTAATTTTTTTGTTTCCTCCTTGACTCAAGTTACTCGTAAATTTCTTATCAGTAAAGGAACATTAAATAATTATTGGATGCGAAACGAAGACGTAACAATTGTATACTTTCCCGAAGATTCCTTATGATTTTCAAACAGATAGGCGATTGATGAATTTGACGCGACCGTCGTCCCCATAAGCGGATGCAAGCGAATTTTAGTTTAATTCTTTTAATGAGACAATTAGACTATCTCGTAAATAAATATATAAATGGCTTTGTTTAGATTAATAGATGAGCTCGACATAATATTTGGAACATTATTATTAGTTATGATTATTGGTTATTAGTTGTTAATCGCGCAATGAAATGAATTCATTTATTCAGGTGTCATCGCGAGCACGTGTGAGTAATCTAACCCGAGAGACTCCCTTTACTTTACGATCGGTACGTCATTAACTTTCATTCGGGACTAGTCGTTAAACTTTCAATTATTCTATTTGCCTTGCGTGAGATTTACAGTGAAGAGCCATCGAATAAGGATGCATTCGTTTGTTTGACACTATCATTAAAGCCAACCGCATTATTGGAAATTTAAAGAAAGAAAATAAAAAATAAAAATGAATCGAGCCTGCATTTTGTTGGACCAAATTAAGCATAAATAAGCCCTGAAATATTGCAGAGTCAACCATCGATATGATGTATCATATAATAACGATTATCTTCGAAATATGAATGAGGAGAGAAATAAGGCATGAGAACCGGATATGTGCATCTGTAAAATCAGGGAGCGCGTCCTGCGTAAACAGAGAGAAAGGCGCGCGGTTTTAAGTTCGAACGTGCGCGCCATGTGGCGTCTTATAACGTTGTAATAACCAGTATTCTATATTTCTCTTTCTCTATCTATGCCTTTTTCTTGTTCACGAACTTTGTGATCTCTTTTCCCTATAGTCCAGCAACCCAGTTATACATGACTTGGTATTTTGAGATCGACTGTGACGGCTCTTGAGAAAGCTTTAGAGAAGAACCTAAAAATGTTTTGATTGACCGTCCGCGACATCCAAATTACTGAAATAATAATGTGGCGTAATGGGAGAGCTCGGCCTCTTTTCCTTAACCTCTTTGCATTCTTTTCGTTCAAGCAATTACAATAGGGTAGCTGGGATAAAAATTGAGCTCAGAAGTAATCGTTGATTAAATTTCTTCTTTTTGTCCTTTTATCCTTTTTGCACTTTAATAGAACATAAGTAGCTACGATTTTATGAGAAAATATAC